CAGCGCACTTCCCTTGAGATTAGTCAATGCTACAAATTATTTGTAATGCCCCACCTTGAATGATTTTGGCTCATAAATGAGGTCCTACAAGAATTATGTAAAATTCATGCATCTATCCCTAATTTTCTTGTAAACAAAACGCTCATCAACCTTCTTTATCCGTTGTTTTTCTTTTAATTTCGTGATCTTCAAGACATGGCAAGCTGAATTCTTGTCACCTTGCTGGTACGTAATAAGCACAAGGCGACAAAAACCTATCTGAATGAAAACGAAAGCAATCTTCTGTTAAGAAGAGACAACTTCACTACAGCACAGCTGTCGGAGAAGTCCTGTTCGAACTCACACTTCCTCATTTGAGCTAATATTTGATCCCGTTTAGCTCACAAAGTGATAAAAATCGAAGTTGCATGTCCATAAATGGTCGGTCGTCCCTTATAAATGATAACATTGGTAGAATCACTTTCACTTAATGAAGTTCGGATCAACTTGTTGTAGTTAATGGTTTTCGTTCTTCATCTTTGTGACAACACCTATCGCCCGGTATGCATTGAATGCAATGCGTTTCTTGGAAAAACGGTGGCTACTTCAAACTTCTAACCAACGCTTCTCAGCTCATCTTAGGTTCTGCTAGTCGCAATAGAAACGATTAGAATCTACAGACCTTTGTGTACAGGATAAAAGGGGCTTTATTCTACGTTAGTGTAGTTTTAATTTTCCGCAGCCCATGACACATTTTTCTTCTAGGTTTTGCGTCAGAGCCCGTATTTCGAACACCGAAGCAATTTACCAACCGATATTTCATCTAACAAGGCAATGTTCTTTAATGCAAAGTTCATATTTGCAGCGGTTGCGTTTGCGCCAGAGAACTTTGAACTTTGAATCTCGTTTGCAGTTTCTTGTGAAAAGAACTGGTGAGTGTTCTTAAATCGCTTGGCACATACAGCCAAGTGATCCTCAACCTTAAAATGTCTGCAGCTGTCTTCTTTATTCTTAAGCGAAGCGTGGAATTTCCTAAGCCTAGTTTCACATTCTTGACCATCCCACCGTGTCGATGGTTCTAGTTGGTCGAGATAACTGGCGTTGAGATTTGCTTAGACAATGCTCAGTCTACTGGGCGTATATCGTATCACGTTTAATCCCGCTAATCACCGAATGATACGGGAGGACACCCTAGAAGTCTCTGCGCACAACTGTCGAGCACCAGAGCTGCTCAGTGGGTTCGTATTGCTACTAGGACACGTTGAGAATTACATCTTTGTTGAAAGGCCGTCTAATTTCATTGCTCATAGCAGGAAAACAGTTATTTGCAGACTTCGCACTCCACTATGAAACAGATTTACTCATAGATAGACTCCACTTACAAGCCTGGAACTTCTTAGTAGTGAGTTTAAATGACCCTAGTGGAGAATAAAAATTCGCTCTACATAGTAACTCGATACCGAAGATAAAATTCGATTACTGTGCTGAAGGAAACGATCAAGTCTGGGTTCGGTCGCTTCGAAATTTCTAGTACGTAATTTTCATAGGAAAGTCGTCTTCAAGCCCTGGAATGTTCGGCCACAAACGTGTAGAAAAGACTTCTTTCGGATCATTCCGTTCAAATAAACATAGAGTATTGCAAGTGGAAGTTAGTGATAATAATCCTCTTTACATGTGACGGTTAGAAACGGAAGATGACACTTAAGGTTAGTTGACAGGATTAAATGTGAGTTAAAATGATAATTCGTTGTTAGTCAAGCATCACTAATGTGTCGTCATGGGATCCCTTCTGCGCCGATAGAAGGAGCTTCGTAACTAAGTTTACGCATACCTTCCTTAATGCCCTTGAATGCCCGCATAGTGATCACATAGAATTTCACTGAAGTGTGGTCTGATAGAGGACATGCAGAGATTGTGTTACTCTTGGGTGCAGAGCAGGAAGCAAACTTCACAGCGCACTGCGTATACGATGTCGGGATTTGACGACACCATGGCGTCCGACCTGCCATCGGTTCTCACTGGTTGTCTAAACGAGTTGTCTCGTACCATTCAAGGCAGTATCCAGTGTGCGTAGTACTGAGATTGCGTGGAAGTTTTACTTTTCCTACTAATAGCGTAGCCCCTCAAGGAATTCGTCATCTTGTAACCACAGACTCGTCGGGCAACGGAGATCGGAGATAAAGCAGCTCACCACACGACCAGGTTCCAGCCGGACGGAGATGATTCGCGAAGTTGGGTCACTTCTAAAGTGGTTTGGCTATGAGATTTATTTAATAACATGTTTTCCAAAGAAATATGCAAGCAGCTTTCCGCTATTGTTATCTATTATTAGTACTCTTATTTGTACAATCTACTCCTTGATCTCCTTGATTGTTACGTTTCAGCGAGGACACATGGATTAGAGTTACTCTGAACATTGTGTAGATGAGTCCTTATTTCGAATTTTTCTGATTACACATGTCCTCTATTTTTAGTAGCCGATTCTGGTAACTTATACCACTAGTATATCTTTCTACTTCTGTTCAGCAAGTACGAGGTGCTATTTTATTTCTTTATTTACGCACAAGCTGACGTTTCGGCGGATTTCGCCTTCCTCAGAGCCTGGAAGGGTCAAGTTGACAGCAATCCACTCGGCCAAACACCTCCATAACCAAACAGAGTATTTATTTATAGTATTATACCACTAGTATTTTTGTTAATCACCGAATGTTTTGAGCACCCATCTCCACTAAAGCCTCTACTCGTTCCTATTATTCAGAATCTCCCAGTAGATTATGCTAGCTCAGAAATTTCTCAGGATCTGTGGGAGTTAGGTAATGTTAGCAGTAACCCTTTTTGGCAGTGTCAAGCCAATTCAGCTTCCATATACTTTCCATCCACTGCATTCCAGACTTCTGGTCCATTCGACCGTGCAGGATGGAATCCACTTACGCGTGAGCATACCCACGCGCCTAATACGGCAGCACTGACGCAGGCAGACCACCCCGTATCCAAATGAATCCCATAGGAACACGAGGTGACTTTTTATGAGAGTTTGATCCTTCTTCTAGTGATCTGGGAACGCACACCTTACCATCACGGCAACCAGTTCACCTAGGATCCCTCACATGGACGATATTAGGGGTAATCATGATTCATGTCTACAAAAATGTTAAAACAGTATTTTTGGCTCCGTTGTTTTTATAGACCACTGCGATGTTCGCTTTCGTTGATTGTTTCGTATGAGTCACAGCGGATCCGTCAGATCAAGTGTCTGTATGACTCACCGAAGTTACTCCAGTGTTCCTTGGGATAGCAATCTCCTGCGTTGTTATGTTCACCTTTGTTTGAAGCTCTTCCTGTATCTGCTTCTCTTGCACTTTATCTTGATCATGTCAAGCACTGCTGCTGATTTTTTCTGATTCTGTTTACTTCCACGTCTATCTTCTGAGTTCTATCTTTCCATCATGCCATTAGTTTTTCTTTTCAGTGTCTTTCTCCCATTTCACAGGTTTCATCACATCCTCTCCTTTTATCGACCTAATTTATGGCTCATTTTCTTCCTCATTTTATGACATTCTTTCTGTTGCTCTGCCTTCTGTTACGCATTCTACTTCTCTCATTCATGCCACTCCACAACATGTGTTTATTCATCATTAAAACGACTATAGGGTAGCATCAGATCAACTACCAACTTATTTTGGCTCTAGTGGACCACAATTCTTCACAAATAGACATAACAGAAAAAGTAGTTGCTCTTAACCCACATTTAAACCAAGGATTCAGTTCTCTCCACGCCTTTCAGTTTAACATTTCTCTTTCCTATGTGTTTAAATCACAAACAAGTTCGAGGGTGTAGTCAAAAGCTGTCTAGAAAATCGTCGGATCATTGTCTGCTCAAAATATTCCTTCGACTTAAGCTGACATTTCTGCGAATTTCGTATCCCTCGATAACTAAAAAAATCTATGTTGATCTCTAATATATTTATAATAACACTTTATAAAAGAAAACTCGGCAACCAGCTATTCCGACAATTAAGTAATTAACTTCGACGAAAGTTCTTAAGCCGTAGACTAGTTCATTTCCAGTTGCATCTCAGTCAGCACAGCAGTTGTTTGCCTCAACGACAACAAAGGACAGTGCATGAAATTAGTTGCCGAAACATCCGCCAAAATTAAATAAATAATATATCAACAACTTTGTTCAGAGAGTACAAAAACATGGGCAGAAGCAATCTCATGGTTAGTAGAAAATTGCCCAGGTAGAAAATCAGTCAGATCAAATCAATTTGTTCACTTAACCTGGACTCACTTCCCACAGCTGTTTTTACACTGTGGCACTGAAGGCAATCTCTTATGAATACGGGAGTGCCATGTGGGTGTAGATCTAAGCATATGTGTATATACATGTATATATGTATGTGTATGAGTTCTATGAGTGGAGCAGAGTGTGCGAGTGACGGAAAAGGGAGGACGGAGTGCTGAGGGGGGAGTGAGGGCGAAGCCTCTGCCGCGGTAGGGGCGAGCTCGAGCTCGCCGGCAGGCGAATCGATGTGGGGGGCCTGCTGACCAGTGCCTGGCTAGGCTCAGCCTCAGCTTGTCGGCTGCCTTCTATTCTCTTCGTCTGCACTTCACTAGTTGCTAAATGTCTCTCCGTCAAATAGACGTTTCATTTACGAGTTATCTGCACAACTCAACAGCTAGCGTCAGCCGCTAAGGGCGCTTATTGTTAGTCGAGGAGAAACTGGCACACCGTTCGCTGAGCGTGTCGTCGCAAGTCTGATTGATTCCCTTCATGAACCCGATCTTGTCTTTAACACACAAGTACCCACTGTTTACAGTCCGCTTTCGTGTTGTTTTCACACATGCAACAAGAAGCCACTGACGTCTGCTGTCGTAATGACGTGAAAAGTGGGAATCTGTTGTAAAAAGTCGAGCTGCCTGTTCGCAGTGCTCTATTAACTGACGCGCTTTCGTAAAGTTTTGCGAGTGTAGAGCATTCGTAGCTCAATGACTGTTGCTAGCGGACCCGCCGAGCTATGTCACTTCTTCTGATCTGTTTGCACTTTCTCCATATACTCTAGAAAGCTGGCCTCTAGTGATGACCTCTCATGTACTGTCGCCAAATCCCAGTTTTCATCATCGACTGAGGCTGAAAAGAACTCTATTTCGGATATGTTTATTCCAGAAGAATATCCTTAGTACTAAATTGCGAATATTTTTGGAAAATTCAGAACTGTGGTGACGATAGACAGATTAGATATAGGATAACACGTGAGAAGTTTGTGATTTCGAGGGCAATGAGTAATAGCACTGGTAACAGTCGAGAAAAAAACAAACTAGTAATCGGTGGGCCGGCAGATGCATGTCGACTAAACAGCTCTTGTTTCAACTCGCGCCGGCTAATCAGTGCGCAGGCCGAGGACGATCATTCGTCGTCCTCTGCTGACGGGAACTCCTCAATCATGGAAAAATCCGTCCTGTGACTCTCCTACTGCTCTGCTTATCTCGGTCTTCCCTCGAGAATCGATTGCTGTGTTTTAGTTTGGCGTAATGTGTCTCTGGATGGAGAGTTAGACGGGTGTCACGTAGGGCCGGTGACATTCATGAGTTCCCACATAAGAATAGTCCGATAGTACCACAACTCTTCCTCCTTTGTATTTTTCCGTTCTGCACTTTTTAATTTGAATCCTATGAACATTTTCCCGTAGTTTTGATTGCTACGAAAATTCAGCTGCATGCACTTTTCGCTGATTTCGGTAGGCTTTCTTCGGCTTTATTAGCGTGAAGTATCTGTTACCTTTCTGTGTGATTGTGTACAGTTGTGCCTTATTTTCACTTTATCGTTTTTTTTATTACGTTCTCACTTTTTATCTTTTATCTTGGTGACAATAATGGTTTGAGTTCGAGCCTCTCCGGTTTTCCTTATGCACTGAGTTTTGCTCCACTCCTCTAACAATCTCTCTTTGCGCATGCGAAAGGATAATTTCCTCAAACGAGTGCCATTGACTTTATTTAAACACGGACATGTAAAGGCCTAGAACCTTATGTAAAGGCTGCTATTCAGAATGTCCTTTGACAAATAGTTGCTATGGCAAAACAGAAAAGCATGTCGCGGGCGTCCAGGCAACGCCAACCAAAGTCAGAAAATTCCCACCATCAGTTAGTTGACACAGTGGTTAGAGGTGCATACGGTAACCACATGGTTATAAGATCGGTTCCCTCCAAGGCTCGAAGATCACTTTTGCTCGACAGTTTAGTAGCAGACTGATTTAGAAGGATTTAAATATCGTGGTTTCATCAGTAAGACCTCACAAGTCATTTTGCAAACTCATCACCTCTATTAGAGTCGACTACATAGCGAATCGCAAAGAGATTGATCAATACCGGACGCTTTTGTCTCTTTCATTTATTGCACTGAACAGATTTCCTGGACGTTGCTTTTCTTCATCATCACTGGCACTGTGCACAGTGCGCTTACCTGTTCTACCTGTTCCTCTCAAACTTCTATGTGTCTATGCAATTCTTTTTCATGAAATTGAGAAGAAAATCTTATATCCTAGGGACTAACGAATCCCTTCAAGGACTGAAATCAACGTGACCGGAATCGCATTCGGTTGACCAACAGTTGAATTCATTGTGTCGTTGCGTAGCCCGGCAAAGAGGTTTTCGTTATTCGTTGGTGGCTTTCCATCGTGCTGATGTCGTGCAACTCGTTCATATGTCATCTGTTCGCTGAATACATCTCCGAAGTGTTCGTTTCATCAAGCGATTTTCCGAACCACAACCATCTATCAAACGAAGCGCGTTCTAGTTCTTCTGCTTTCGAAAGCGTATCAGAGGAGATGAATGCGCCAGCTCTTCAACGAGATATGCCGAAATTAACTCTGATGGCTACAAATCACTTAGTCTTCTGGCGTTTAGGATTCCGCAAGAACATCAAGATCTCCCTGTTTCCGTTTTCAATTCATCCTTTTTAAAATCCGGCTTGTTCGCAGTGATGAAGATCGAGACTGTGTAACTGCATTGTTTCGTGTCTTTGTAGGACAACTAATAAGATGCTGAAGATAAAGTTTTTAACTGAACAAACGCTAAGCAAAAGCTGAGGAAAGGTAATAATTCACGGTTTTCCTACAAAATTGCTATTATAATTGTAGAATGAGGTGCAAAATATGCTACTAAGTAGTAATTATTTGGATGAATAGTTACTATACTAAGCAAATCATTCTGTATTGCGCGAAATCCTTGGACATCAGGATCAATAAGAAGGACACGTAGTGGTCGGAGGCGCCCTGCAACACACACGTGGAACCGTTCTTTGCACCAATGGCCCATCAAGCCTTCCATCCCTCTGGTGTCGGCAAATTGATAACAGACTTGTCTGAGAGGATAGCAGCACTGGCTCGATAGGCCACGGCGAGTCATTGTAAAGGGCAGATATGCATTCGTTCACCTCCAAACGATGCTTAATGAAGTGGTATGCATGGCGCATTCTTCAGGGATTGATCAACGCCGAAAGGTTTATCTTTTTTTATTTATCAGGAGCAATCAAGAATTAACCTAATGCTCTTCTGTTCAGCTCATCGTGTGGGAATCTTCATCAGTAGAGATTTGAGCGCTTATAGTCTGAATACATGATTACTCATTGGTGATGATGGTGCTCATTGAAGTAGATATGATTGGTGTCCGCGCCTTTAACTCAGATTTATAATTCTCTGTTTGTTTACCTTTTGATTTTTCGACTCCAAGACTTCGCCTGCCTTAACGTATACGTCGAAAACTGGTCGCAACGTAAGCAGGATAAGAGATCAGTCTGCGTTATGGAAAGTGCAGTCGAAAAGACGATGCTAGGAATATCCCGTTCCACACAATTAAGCGATGGGATCCGAAGCGCCGACCTGCGTCAACCGTCAATCAAAAATCAAAGATGCCGATCTGCACGCCAAACAGTCGAAGATATGGTGGGCCGGACACGTAATGCGTATGAATGACAACCGATGGGCAAGTGCCGCTAATGACTGGATTCCTCGGCGAGTCAAACGTTCTGCAGGAAGACCACTGAACCGATGGTCAGAGTTCTTCACGAAAAGCCTAGAAGAAAGATATGGTGCTCAAGGAGCTCTGAAATGAACACAACCACCGGGTTGCTCGTCCACGCAACAGCGAGAAATTGAAAATTTACTGGCGTCCGCTCGATTCACCCGACGATCAACAGGACAGCAGGTGATACAGCTGGTACTTTTTGATGGTGGGAATGCTTACGTTAGGTGGTCCTAAATGGTGTCTGCGCCACCGGCTGGGGTTTGCCATGGCTTTGGTGTGTCTTAGCAGCGAAGCGCGGTATCATAGACGTTGCAGTCTATCGTACATTTTTTGTTCGGTTTCAATCTTCTTCCTTCTTCTGCCGAGCAAGCGTTTCATCTTGTGCTTGTCTTAGCCTCTCATTATTCCCTCGAGGCCCCCTTTGTATAATAGAACGCGAATATCTATCTCTGCGTCGTTTCTGGCTTTCTGTGACTTTGTATAACCTTATCAGAGTACATTTACCCTTGGCAAGTTTGTTATCCGCATCTGCTGTATGTCATCGATTCCCAAACAAAGATTTGGAATCCGTAGATTCGTTCACTGCAGAAATTGGTTTTCTTCCTATTTTCTTTAGATTGTAAGTCTTCTGAACACCTGCAGTTCGCTTCCACGTCATGTGAAAAATTGGTTTTGCATATTTTTTAAGGAAGAATTCACAGAAAGCCGGGGTCTAATCGATTTACCCGGTTTCTTTCCTCACATTTTCTGGAACAAATTTTGCGAGGCAACTGAAGAAAAGATGCGATATCAAAATTTCCGAAGAAGATTCTCACGTGATGCTACCAATTTTCTATTCATTTCGTAAAGGAACGTACTTAATTTCTTCTCGTTTCTTTTTACAGTTTCTATTAAATTTGGAAATATGGTGGATCTTTTTCAGACGTCTTATTTTTCATCGGAATGACCATTTGGATAATCATGAACTGCTAATGAATATATTACTAGTATATTCTCTTTGAAAGCATGTGGCGCAGTGGTTGGAGGCGCCTTGAAACATGCACGTGGAATCGATCCCCGCGCCCATAGCCCACGAAGCCTTCCGCACCTCCGGGGTAGGCAAATTGATATCAGACTTGTCTGCAAGGTTAGCAGCACTGGCTCGATACATCGGTAGGCCACCGTGATTCGGAGGCGTTTTATAGCGTCGGGGCGGACAACTCGTCCATTTCGAGTGGGCGGTCGCTTTTTGCGTTTTTCTCGCTTAAAACGCGTTTTTGGGCCATTCCCTGGCGCGGATCTCCCCTCCCGGCCATTGCGAAGACCCGAACTGAAATCCCGAATCGATGGTGATAGCTCAGCTTTATCGACTTCGCTGCTTTGATTTTTTCTGTTTGTTTATTATTGGCGATCGGCATTCTTTTTCGCACTGGCAGCCGATTATGTCGAAGAGATCATCTCGAATGCAGCTGTGCTGCGCCATTCCTCAGAGTTCCCTCTTCATCTATTCATCGCCTTAGGTCAAGTTGAATACCTCGATCGCTCTTGTTTTTTAGTTAACTTTTGCAAATTGAACCTTCACTCCAACCACTGCGCCACATGCTTTCAAAGAGAATATACTAGTAATATATTCATTAGCAGTTCATGATTATCCAAATGGTCATTCCGATGAAAAATAAGACGTCTGAAAAAGATCCACCATATTTCCAAATTTAATAGAAACTGTAAAAAGAAACGAGAAGAAATTAAGTACGTTCCTTTACGAAATGAATAGAAAATTGGTAGCATCACGTGAGAATCTTTGTTTTTGAAACGATGGTCCGGCACTCCATGACGCAAAGGCGTATGAATCTAGTCATTAGATGGACAATCAAACTGAACAGTCGTACTTTCGACTACTAATGGGTTTCTCGTTCACGTAGACTTTTCTGCCAGTGTCTATCGTTTATCTGACACCTACTTTTCTTATCTTTGTTAATAGGTTGCAGAACAATATCTTGCGCATATGTTTCTTTTTCAGCCGAAAACATTTCAACAAGATTTTCACAGATAAACTCATTGACCTCCGTAAGTCCGAACCCACAACAGGAGAATGAGGCAAGACTAAGATAGAACTAGTCTAAGGTCAAGACTAACCTACGTGTTCTTGAACACCGTTTTGACTGTTTCTTTTGATTGTTTTATTGTGTGTTCGCGTTTATTTCCGTGGACACATGTGATATAAAGTAAGGTGTAAAATAGCAATTTTAGAGCAAAATGGCGGATTTGGAAGCCGTACTGGCTGATGTCAGTTATCTCATGGCGATGGAAAAAAGCCGGAGTCAACCTGCCGCCCGAGCTAGCAAACGGATCGTTTTGCCCGATCCGAGGTTGGTTTCTGCTCACGAATATTGCTAATCATCTATATGTGCAGTAACTCTGTACAACTTTAGTTTGCAGATTCTGAAACTGTTTCAGTAAAAGGAAATTCTTAATTGAGTGAAATACAACCACAAGGATGCTGAGATATGCACCGAACTCGAACCCCCAGTTGAGCTTCAAACTAGCGATTACACTTTCTCTGGCACCACGTACTATTCGTCAGACCAACCGAAGCCCTTGTTTTGCTTTTCTCTTAGCCAGTTTTTTACTCTAACGGTGATATCAACAATCATCCGTCAGTGGGAATAGGCCGTACATAATAGTTAAGACATTGTGAATTCGGTAGTAGCTTCAGTTTTACTTGGTTCAGTGCCGATTAGTGCTACCCAGATCGTTCCCATCGACGGCTAATTGGCGATAGCACCATTGGAATAAGAAACTGACGGAAGGAAGTGCAAAGTAAGGACCTCGGTTGGTGCGATGGAAATCACGCGAGACCTCGGAAAGGGTGATCGCGGGTTCGAAGACCATCTGTGAATCCGAGTTCTGTTAATCTACGATGAATCGTTGTAGTTATATTTTGCGTAATACTTTGCCATGAAAAATAATGCGCTGAAAATAGTTAAGAAATATTTCTCCTGCTGTTCTGAGAAGCCCGTCAGCGGAGGATATTGAAGGATATTATAGATAGAAGGGAGGCTTTCCATCTTCAAAGTGGTTTTCTTACTCGTAGGCTGCTATTCCTCGAAATTGGCTAAATTAGTCCGGCTAAAAATAAACTTTACAGCTAGTTAGCCAAGTTATTTTTTTCATTGATTTTGGTTTTCCTGTTCTAATTATGGGACATTGCAAAAAATTTCTTGGTGCTTCCAATTTTGCATACCAATTGTTTCTTGCAAGCGACGAGGAATATCGTTCTGTTGAAATCCTTATCGTTGGTTTTTCTTCCTGAACCTCTGAAATTCCTGTATAAAGGAACGTGTGGGATAAAGTATCACCTGTATCACCTGTAGTCTCGTTGATCGTCGAGTGACTCGAGCGGGCGACAGTAAATCTTCCATTTTTCCCTGTCGCGTGCAAGAGTAGCTCAGTGGGTTCTGCACTCTCTAGCGACTCGTCGAGCATCATATCTTTCTTCAAAGCTCCTTGTGAAGGACTCTGACCATCGGTTCAGTGGTCTTCCTGCAGTGCGTTTGACATCCCGAGGAATTCAGTCATTAACGGCGCTTGTCCATCGATTGTCATTTATACGCATTACGTGTCCGGCCCACCTTATCTTCGACTGTTTGGCGTACAGAACGGCATCTTTGATTTTTAATCGTTGACGAAGGTCGGACCTCGGATCCCTTCCCTTAGTTGCGTGACACGGGATACTCCTAGTATCCTCCTTTCGACTGTGCGTTCGATAACGCTGAGTGACCTTTCATCCTGCTTGCGCAGCGACCAGGTTTGTGACGCATACGTTAGGGCAGGAAGTACCGTTGAGTCGAAAAGGTGGGCACGAAGTCGGGTGTTCTTTGTTCTCTTCACTACATTCTCGATGCTCTTGAAAGGTCCTCAGCCGCTCATTTCCTTCTGCTCAGCTCTGGAGCTAGGTCGTTCAACGTATTGATTTCCCGATCTAGATAGATATAACTGGAGCATTCGGAGATATTCGTTCCGTTGGGCGTGAATGGGGCATGCGAAACCAATCCGTCCTTCATGAACATCGTTTTTGTGAGATTTAGTCGAAGATGATATCGCCTTGCCTAACTCCTTTTTTGACGTCGATGCCAATGTCGTTCCAGAATTGTGGTACCTTAGTTGTGAAATTTTTGTACAGCTCACGAAAAATCTTTATATACTGAGTAGGCACTCCTTGGCTATCAAGGGCTTCCAAAGCTGCTTCTATCTCACCTGAATCAAAAGCCTTCTGTAAATCAATGAATGTGATACAGAGCGGTCTTTTGTACTTTCGCGATACTTCAATGAGCCGTGTTACCGTGTGGATGTGGCCTATCGTAATAAATTCTTTTCGAAATCGTGCTTGCTCACATAGCTATCTTTGGAACTTCTCCAAGTCCACATAGAACGCTTCGACTTCTTCGTCATAGTTTGATGTTGGCGCGTGAACGGCGAAGATTGTCAGAGCCGGTATTGACCCACATCTTTTTAATCGTAAACCTCCGATTCGGGTTGTAAGCTGTTCAAATGAATCGATGTTCATGGACAAACTCGTGTTGACGAAAACGCCGATGCCGCCAACTCCTTTACTGTCTCATGTCCCGAGGAAGAGTTCTTCTCCGGTGTCGTAGACGGCATTGAAAGGCAGGCGTCTACTCGTCTCGGCCAGGCCGATGACGTCGTACCTTAGGATGACATCCTTCTTGCTTGTGTGAGCAAGTCTTTTATCGAGGACTCGGATGCAATTGTGCGTGCATTTTAGGTAGAGATCGTCACCACAGTCCTTTGAAGTCCAGGCAGCCTCCATTCGCCCTGAGATTTTAGCAGCCTCTCCGTACTCGTCCTACCCAACGCTGTGAAATTGGGTGCTCTTTCGGAGTTGGGGGAATGAGACCCGTTTTTCTTCTACTGTGTTTAGCATTTTTGATACCCACGTATAGCTTGCTGGGCTCTGAACGTGGGGGCTGGGTATACTCATGGGTAGCTTGCCAGGTTCTCCCAGAGTGGGCATGGAGCTTATTTCTTGGAGGCGACTCCTAATCGCCTCCGATATACATCCCAGTCACTTGATTGCAGGCTTTTGGCTTAATTGACTCGTAGAATACAATCCACATAAGCAAGAACGCATCCACACTTGCGTACATGAATACGCCTAGCAAATACAGAAAGTATGTGCCAAATCAGTGCAGCAGAAACAAGTAGTCCATCCCCTGGATGCACCTGCGTCTCAGGGAAGCAAAGTTCGCTTTTGGTCCACGATTAACCCCTATCCGCCACCTGGAGACGTGCCACGTAGCCTCGCTACTAACCGACTCGAGATCCCTCGTATGAGAGGAATCCTTAGGGGATAAAGTATAAAAAGGATAAAGCTCTTGGCATTGATCAATCCCTGAGGGATGCGCCATGCATTCGACTTCACTAAGTATCATTGGAGGTGATTGAATGCATATTTGGCCTTTACAATACCCATGTATCGAACCAATGCTGCTATCATCCCAGACAAGTCTGGTACCAACTTGCTAACCCCGAGTGGATGAAAGGCTTGGTGGGCCATGGGCGAGGCTAGCGATTCCACATGTGTGTCGCAGTGGTGCCCCAACTACTACGCCACAAGTTTGAGAGTGATGTCAAATTCATCGTAGAACACCCACTTTAACGTTTTTGATCTTTTCAATTGTTTGCGCTCTCGACTTTCACATTAATTTCAATGCTTTCAACTATTTTCCAAGTCCATAACCTAAAATCAATCAAAGGCAGACCTGAAACCAGTTGTTTACAATTGTTTGCCAATTTTTTACATAATGCTTTACAAGCCAAACTGATCCAACCTATGGAGAGAAAGTTTCAGGTAAGGAACTTGGAGTTACAGTGTTCATCTACTTTCCATCTTTCTAAAAACTACGAGGAATGGCTCCATCATGCAAAATAAAACTTGATTTCAGTGTTCGGAGTATCATGCAGAAGTATCTGGAAAAAACGGGTGAAATCAAATTCGAGAAGATTTTCAATCAGAGACTCGGTTTTTTGCTGCTCAAGAATTTTGTCGAGAACATGGCCGAGAGCTCGTGTCCACAGATCAAATTCTACGAAGCGGTAGGTTTGGTCGTTTCCAATCATCACCAAGCGGAAATCGAACAGGTCCCTTCTCAAACAAAGTAGTAACCTATGTAGTTCACCAGCATTTGTCTTTTCTAACTCTCTGAAGGAGCTTTATACTTGAACTCTCTGAAACTCGTCCATATTGCCATATTCTCCTATTACTGTCGAGCGTTTCAGTTATACTACGCTGTGTTGTTTTTCCCGGCGATATTTCGACTGAGTATGAGAATTATCGGAGACACCCTTTTCATTGTTATGTAAGCTGTAAGCTTATGGGAATTTGTTGCTTTTTTTCTGTATTCAGATTGGTGCCTTTGAAAAATAATGGCTGACTGACTGCCATGTAACTTTTCGTTCCCGTTCTGGAAAGGATAATCCATGTGTCCACTGTCTAATAGTATAGTCCTTCTTCGTTATATTAATACGCCTGAGCAAATGAATTGGCTACCTTCCGAATAGATGAATTATATTTGTTCATAGACGGGAATAACGTCGACCAGTTATACTAGGAGGAGAGGGGACGTATATGTTGAGGTGTTCATGAGGCTTCAACTCAAACAGTCGTTCTAGATCAAGGAGTATGAGAAGATGGAAACGCCGGAAGAGCGGTTGACCAAGGCCAGAGAGATCTACGACCACCATATTATGATCGAAATGCTTGCCCATGCTCATGTAAGCTTGATAGCTTCTTTATAAACTAATGCTGTTTATCAATTTTTGCGCACGAATATTTGTCTTCCGGCAAAGTACTTCTCAGTATAAAAGAACGTGGTGCTGTCTTAAAATCATTCGGGACCACCGTTGGCAAATAGTAGCGAAATATATCGGATTTTTCGCAAAAAATCTAACTGTTAGGTGCCTCCCTTAAAGAAGCTATGGAGCAGGAGTGATATCAGTTTGGATAAACAACATGGACCAATGAAGAATGTGATTGCAGGGATTGATAATGAAACTTTACACCCGTCAGATAGAAAATGTTGTTACCTGACATGCCTTTTCAACTAGTTACAATTGACAATAAGATTACAGTGACTGTTTAAGTTATAAGCTCCCATATTTTGCTTCGCTGCCGCCAAATTCAGTAACAAACCTGTCATTCCCTCTAACTTGAACTTTTGTAAGTCTGCTCAATCTCATCTCAGAGCTGAGTGTGCTCCCAGTTCACTGAGACTTGATTCAAACGCCAACAACCCTTGGAAGCGTAAGCTATGGAGCACTTAGTTGATAAGTGAATTCAGTACAACGTCTTTGTACTCCCAAATAGCTGCTATTAAGTGAATCTTTCGCCAATTATTGTAATAAGAGAAGCCTATAAATAGAACTAAATATTTGGTAGAGGAGTAAACTTGACTTTCTGACTCTAGGCAGGTTAAGATCCCATTACGACGTCTTTTGCAGAACTACTCAAAAGCCTCGCTGCAGCATGTGCAGTACCACCTACTCAAGGGCAACGTACCGCCGGATCTGTTTCAGGTTAGTGGAATATTTCTTATGCAACGTTCAGGCTGTCTATTCTGCTGAAGTGCTCCACTATTCGTTCGAGTCAATTAACGACGATCTAAGTAGCTTTATTAGGCGTGTAGACCTCAGGTTCACAGCCAGTTTTTCAAATGAGCTGGCCGGTCCCTCGTGTGAACTATTTGTTTTCGGAAAATTACTCCACATTAATAGTTCAAGTTCAATGAGCGAAGTTAGAAGGTACTTCAAAAATCGATTCTCCTTTAACCTCGGCATGAACAATCAGTATTTTCTTAGATGACCAAGCGAACACAAGGTTTATTTTTTAAAAAAACTTTATTTGGCCAACGTTTCCGTCATTTTTTTTTTGTTACAATCGCGAACGCTCACATCGAAAGATTGAATTACTGTGGACAATCATCTCGAATCACCATCGTCCCACTAACAAACTTATCTCATGGTGACAAATCTCCTTCTGATCCACAACGGCGACTGCCTGTGGTGGTGACAACCTGGGCAGACTTTGGCCAAGCTGACCTTGGGACACCAGTGAACCGCAGTGGCTAGGCCAGCAAAACTCCGAAAGAACGGAAATTGTGCTAGGGCCCGCACAAATATTGAAAACGGACTACCCAGGTATCCAAGTAAGTAACTTCTCGAATCAACCAGGCTTTGAGGAAGAAGGCGCGGAAACGCTAGCCGAATATAGTCTTTTATGGCCTCACGAGTGCTTAATCGCTTCAGAAAATGTTGAAGTTACAACGTATTTGTGGAAACTGGACTATTCACTTGAGTCTTTTCGCTTAAATGATCTTATTTCGCTCAACTTTTAAGCCCTGGTTTAATCCAATCTTCTATTTAGATTTCTTTTTAAAATGGTTTATATGCAGATAGACAATGCGATCACCATGCACTTATTTCCTTTTTTCCTTGACAAACTGAAGAAATGAAAGACGAAAGCCTGATGTCATATTTCTGCGCACTTGATTGCTGATTCCGTCCTTGGTCGTGTTTCGAGATTCCTTCACGGAGAGCTCATTAGTCTCCTTCCATCTAATTTGAAATATCCTATATGAAATTGAAGTTACTATCGTCATTATTTGTGTGCCAGTCATTATTCGCCTGCAATTCTTCAGCATATTTCTTTTTCATTGCCGATAATTAGACCTCCTTTAACACTTGTGACACGATGTGACCTCTATAAGAGTCATACATTGCGAAAGTAATGACTGTTTCCAACTTTTTTTTTCAACACAGCTTAGTGAATTTTATTAGTTGCAACGAAAACAATTAAGGCCATTAGATTCTATTAACCTACAAAATTTGATTACAAGACACAAGTTATCTTACACCATCAGAATGAGATTCTGATTTTCTGCAGTTCGTGGCGTATACTTTTCCACCTTATTGCTTCGAAAGGGACGCGTGTGGTGCAGTGATAGGAGGCGCCCTGCCGACACACACATGGGATCGTTCCACACGACCGTGGCTCACCAAGCCTTCTATCTCTCTGCGATCGGCAAATTGGTACCACACTTGTCTGGGAGGATAGCAAAATCGACTCGTTACATCGGTAGGCTACCGCGAGTTGTTGTACACACCAGATATGCATTCAAGCATCTCCAACGATGCTTAATGAAATCGAATGCATGGTGCATCTCCTAGGAATTGATCAACGCCCAGAGGTTTTTTTCTTGCTTCAAAGATCACATTTCAAATATGGAAGCAAATTAGCAAGCCGAAAGTCTTCCATCATGGCATAGTGTTGTCTCTCAATGTACTGTTTGTTTGCATCTGCTGGTCTTTACATTAACTATTTTGAGAACTTAAGTTTCGCTGTCAATTTTTTGAGAGATTTCATTCTAAACATTCTTAAAGTTGGAGTGTGTGTAAAGAAGCTGTGCAAAGATCATATATGTGATAAGTGCGTTACGACAGTTTGTTCTACAAATCTGTAAAGTTCTGAACACCTTAAACACTCTAGTGATCGAGAAAGTGTTCTCAGTTATCGAAAAACCGCTTCGTTGAGAAGGGATTAACCTCGTTACCCACATTCTCTGGATGAGATTGTGTCCAGTGCTCAGCTCTGGCACAGTCATTGATTCAGGATGCAACGTGTTAACGATATCCGACGATAAGCTGAGAACATCCTAGAGGACACCATCGCGTCACGCGTTCACCATTGCGTTTTCATCGATTTTGTCGGCTTTCTACGATGTCAACTTCATTTCGTTCGTTTTCTGTTCTTCATTTCATGTGAGGTATTCTGCACTTTAACGTGCAGCCTTCGCATAATTTAGCTGAAGTGCAAAAATCGGGGCAAAGGAAGGGCACTCAGTTTGCCTCGAGGGAACTTCGCTGTGTGAAACTGCGCAATCGGCCATTTATCCTCTTAAAGGATGACCCTTTGCTTCGAATCACCCATTTCATCTCTTCGCTGTCAATTCCGCATTGGCTGAGGCTTTTCGAAATTTGAAGGGGTGAGCGTTATCCACATGAAGAGATTTTATGACCACACAAAACCATTTTTTTTTAAAAAGTGGCGTACGTGTTTTATCCTTGCCTTATGTTTATACGAATAGGAAATAATATGTTGAAAAGCACAAAGTGCTAGGGTAGGTATGTTCTCCGGTTTTCCAGACAATTGATATCTTTAACATCAAGGGAGCTCGTGCAAGTGATTTCTCACATCTCCCATGTGAAGTTACCGCGAAAAACCCAGTTGTGGAATCGCCATCCATTTCATCTTTTGGTAATAAAACGTAATCTTTTCCCTCGTTTTCTCGTATATATGGGTCTATTTACGGAGTACATACCAGAAAAACGAAGGGCACGTACAGCGCCGTGGTTAGAAGAACCATGCAATACACACGTTGTCGTCGGCTCTATCAAATATCCAGGATCATCAAGCTTTCCTTCACTCCGAAGTCGCAAATTGGTACCAGACTTGTCTGGGAGGATAGCAGCACTGGCTCGATACATCGATAAGCCACTGCGAGTCATCGTATATATCACGCATGCATTTAATCACCTCTAACGATGGTTGATGAAGTAGAATTCATGGCATCTCCCTCAGGGATTGATCGATGCTAAGAGTACTATCCTTTATCCTTTTAACTCCGCCGAGTTTACTAAACGCGTTCAAGTACGACTTTCGGGAACACACATAGAAATCCGTCGCCTGTTGACCTTTATCAGTTCAATTTGAACTGATCCATATCATTCTTACCATATGGTCCTCTTTATTATTCTTTCACGCCAGCGCCATATTAGCGCTCACCCGAACATCCTATGCTTCCTTACTAGATTAGGACAAGCTGCCGAAGTGCCGTGTCACAGTGGTAGCCACAGAGTTTATGAACCGAACTAAACTTTGGAAGGACAAAGTTTCTATTTGAATGCGTAGCAAGATTATATTAAAATATACAGGAAGACAAAGAAGGCATGGGAAGAGTTCTGAATGACCGGGGAGCGATAAGAAAAATAGTGAGCCTTAGGCTGTTAACAGAATTACTGGCTGTTAATTAACGAGCTTCACCATATTCCCATGACCGACTTTCTGTTAACCTCGGCATTAATTGATAATTCAATGTTTTTCATCAATAAGCAGACACGAGGTTGTTAATATAGAATTTATTAGAACACAATTGCTGACGTTTCGGCGGTTTCGCCTTCTTCAGAGCCTGGAAAGGTCAAATTGAGATGCGATCTACTCAGCCAAACACTTTCATAACCCTAGCAGATAAAACTTGATAAATCGATTTGTATTCGCATAAGAACTCTATTACTCTGTGCGGCGGCTATCCACCAACTAACTTCACCATATTGTTGTGCAATGTCTGGATATCGGCTGTTGCACTTAAATTACTCTAGCACGGTATTCTACTTATTTTAGTGTCACTAACTTTACATTTACACTGATAGCCCACTTATCAATATCAGGGTTAATTTTTCTGTAGGAAACCAGAGTCAATGCAATGGTAATGGATATGGCTAATATGCTAAAAGAATAGTTTTCAGAGGTACGTCGTTGAGATCTGCGATCAGCTTAAAGGTGATATCTTCCAGAGATTTCTAGAAAGGTAAGTTCTGTACTGCTTTTCCCAAAGGAAACATGAAATCCCAAATCCAAATTATATTAACATCAAGCAGTCGCCTCTGGACTTGAAATCGGAACACGGTTTCTCTAATTGATTGCAGGTGCTCAGTGAAGCTGTGTGGAAGCTCTTAAAAGCACTGATGAATGTTGTTTTTTGTCGTAGTCATTTCCTTTTCTAGCTGATACCCATTCGCATGATAGACATGCACATTCTTGTAAGGCTCTGAGAAATTCGATGCAAATGTAGATTTGTACGGGATTAGAGTCACCGCCATAACTGCGAGGTGGATTGATCTGAGTAGCTTTGTTTTGATGTTAAGTGAGTTCCAGACGTTTCTTGCTGAGTTTCGGTTAACCTAATATTGCCGAAACACAGTGATTTTTTCGATTCGTTGTCACATTGGGGCCTTATGACTTTTCCATCCAATAGATAACCCGTGAGAAACTCGTACTATATCCATGAGTTCATATAGTTCACATCTTCCTTTCCTTCAGTAATAAGTGATGGAATTCACACTTTTTATTTCCCGTAAATTCAAATTTAATTTATGGAAAAATCAGCGTTCTCCTTGTAGAAATCTGTTTATATCATTTTATCATTGTTATCGTCATTACCATTACTATTATTCTTAGTAGTAGTAGTGCCTAGTACAGGGGCGCGTGTGGCGCATTCGGAGGTGTCTTGCAACGCACAAGTGGAATCGGTCCCTGCACCCGTGGCCCAGTAAGCCTTCCATCCATCCGTGGTCGGCAAATTAGTATCAGACTTGTCTGGGAGGATAGCAGCACTGGCTCGATACATCAGTGAGCACCGTGAGGCATTATAAAGGCGAGAAGTGCATTCACTCACCTCCAACGATACTTAGTGAGGTCATTCGACTACATGGCTCATCCCCCAGGAATTGATCAACGCCGAAAGCTTTTTAGTTTCTATTATTATTATTACTATCACTATTGTTATTGATAACCTCTTTATCTCTTTTAACAATCATCTATTCGCACTCAGTTTTGCTTAGCAAAGAAAAAGCGGTGTTTCAGTGACAAATTCACTCGATTTTGTCAATGGAAGAATCTGGAGCTGAATATGCAGCTGACGATGAACGACTTCTCCGTGCATCGGATCATTGGAAGGGGCGGTTTCGGTGAAGTCTATGGTTGTCGGAAGGCCGACACCGGCAAGATGTATTTATTGGCTCTTTTTTAAGAAAAATTGCTTGTCAATATTTCAAACTCGTGACGTTGGTAAGCACCAGATTCCGCTTATGTGCTAGTGAATACGGCTGCACCTTTTATGAAAATCTCAGCTTTGTACACGAAAAATATCTTTAGACAAAGTCAGAAGCATTTGTAGCCGGTTTTCTTGTGATTAAGCAGCATCACGACAATGATTACCAGATGACAAGATGATATGTTCGGACCTTATGTCGATGACAAGAAGTAGAAGCTCTTGGGTACAGAAAAAGATAGGGTTTAAGATGGGAATCGATCGAGAGGTTAGTCATTGAGTTTCAGGTACGCGATGAAGTGTTTGGACAAGAAGCGGATTAAAATGAAACAAGGAGAGACGTTGGCGTTGAACGAGCGCATCATGCTCAGCCTCGTATCGACCGGGGTGAGTGCGTAGGTGATGAGTTGCCGACGTGTATGGCGCTCACGGGATCCGACCCTTAAATCTCTTTCACTTCACTGCTTTCCCGAAACGAACTAGGGGCTACAGATCTCCTAGGTCGTATGGTTCGATCGAGTCTTATCGAGCTAAGTAGTCTTCCAATTTGTAAAGGTTTGTGGATAAGACTAGGAGTGGAAATTCTCCTGTTCGCTAGACATAGACAACAAAAATAGGCATCTGTGGATTAATGGCTCGATTTTCCTGTAGTTATAGCGAGGCATTCGCGATGTAAACAGAATTCGAAATAACGATGTTGTGAAGAAATAATCTTTATCTCAATTGTTTTGAAATGCACGATTGATGAAACAGGGAAAGTGTTCCAAAGTTAGCCTAGATGGTTTAAGAAGAACCTATTCGAAGCAACGATCACATCCTCATGACCTACTCGGAAGTCTGGAACCTCATTATTAGTCACAATCAAATGCCATTAGCATACTTTTATAGTAGCTACCTAACATCTTATTCATTGCAGCAAGATTGTCCCTTCATCGTTTGCATGACGTACGCCTTCCAATCGTCGGACAAGCTGTGCTTCATCCTGGATTTGATGAACGGCGGCGACCTGCACTATCACCTGTCTCAACACGGCGTCTTCAGTGAGGCCGAGATGCTCTTCTATGCCTCCGAGGTACGGTGAAGCTTTAAGAATCAAGTAGTCCAATGTCGTCCTTGTTGATTTTCTGAGAAAACCAAGGTTTATGATCGATACGTTCGACAGTATTTTAGCAAATCATAACGTCGCATAGAATTAATTTAGAAAGAATTAAATCACAGATACTATGTATTAGCACAGTTATGAGTTCTCATTCGTATTCGCTCTCACACACGAGAAAAGGAAGAGGAACTATCGGAACTGTTGGTGTTGCTGCTTGTTAATCGTCCCGTTATGAAAATCTGATATTACAGTTCCTAAAGTTTAGACGATTACACAACACTAACTTACTATTTACTGCCTGTTCTTTTTAACGGCAGGGTATATATTGCGAAATAAAACTTTAATGATGCTGAGATATTTGCAAAATTCTGGGCCGCAGGTGTCTGCGGTGGGGAGCAAACGCGCTATTGTCCTTTCCGGGGAGTAGCGCGTTCACTACCACACCATGGCAAAAGATCGATAGAACTAGCTGAGAGACGAACGAAACGATGAACCCGCATGGTGTGGTGGTGAACGAGTTACTCCCCGAAAAGCACGATGGCGAGTACACCTGCGGTCCGGAGTTTTGCAAATATCTCAGCATTATAGCAATAACCGCTAGAGTCAAGAAATTCTTCCCTAAAGGATAAAAGTTTTCTTGCTTTACGGGGTAGAAATTTTGATTTCTTGGACTCCATGAGATATATTTCTTCCACTTTATTGCTTCAAAGCACATACTTCGAATATTAAATCAAATGGAAAAGAGGAATTTTGGTGAACATGACACGATGTTATTCCCGAGTGTGTCGCTTGTCCTCAGCTATTCCTGTTCCGTTAGAAATTCCAAGAACTTAAATTTCTTCTCCCAATTTCTTCAAAGTCCTAGATTTAGGCATATGTACTTTTTAAAGGACGTCATACAGAACTTAATTTTTTTTAGAATTTTTAGAATTTTCGAGTCATACAATACACTGAACTCTCCTTTACATATAAAATTCTGAACTACTGAAATGCTCGAATGGTCGAGGAATCAGTGTCTGTTATGGAAAAACCAGCTTCATAGGGAAAACCTTGAAGGATCCCATGAAGTGCATATAAATCGTAGAGGTTTCATAACATATCTTGCACTGCTAGTGGTCGCTGAATAGAGCGTATGAGACTTCTGAAGCCTTTCCATTAACTTTTTAACTGAAGTCTAGTCTTAGTTCAGGAGATAGAACTAGTACGTGAATAACTGCACACCTTCCTTAATGGTTCCTACTACTAAGAAATTCTATTAATGTAAAGCTATAATTGCGTCAAGTTTTATCCATAAAAAATCAACAGAAGAATGCATTCTGAGGAGAAGGGCGCAGTTAGTAGTTAGTACGTCAAGAGTGGTTCGTTCTGAAATTTCATGAAAGCAGCACCGTTACGTTGTTAGTCTCTTTCTATTCTCCTTCTGTCTATCAGAACAAAAGAATTATGGGTTATTCTCTAGTTGTCTGTTTCCAAAGAGTATCGAGTAATGAATATTAACAACTTACGATAACCTTCCCAAAGGAATCTAAAGTTTCATGAAGTTGTGCAAAAGAATTGGTCATCGAGCGCTACAACCAGTCCCATTATAAACGCTCTCACCGAACAATGTCAGTAACAATAGTAAATTTCGACTCTGTAGAATCAACGAAGTCATACCTGAGGTGGTTTAGGTGATTCTTGGTTTGGAGCACATGCACAACCGATTCGTGGTTTACCGCGATTTGAAGCCGGCCAATATTCTGCTCGACGAAAATGGACATGTAAGTCGTCGTTCGTGATCGATGTACTAGTCGTTCGTCATCCGTACACTTGCTGGAATTCGTTAAAGTACAAATGAGGAAGTGAACGCAGACATTTCCGTTGTTCACTATCCTATTTTTATCCCAGTACGATTTCTTCAATGAATTTCACTTCTTGTTTCATACTCTTTACTAATGCAGGTACGCGTCTCTGATCTCGGCTTAGCCTGTGATTTTTCGAAGAAAAAGCCCCATGCCAGTGTGTGAGTTTTTTTCCTTATGCATTCCTAACTGTGAGGATCAGAAAATAACACAAAATGCTATTAAGAGACCTCGAGAAAGGCTATTCAACCTGTCCGTTTCTCAATGAGTGTTTCAAATTCGTCAATTTAGGTGACTTAACCAAAGTTGAAAACGAATTTACTAGTGAAAGTAAGTTCAGAGTATTAATATGAAGAAGGAAAAGGTGAAAAAAGAACCAACAAATCTATGATATAGTAAAGTATTTCAATTTTATCCCTTTTGTTTATGGTTAATGTAGTCTTCTTATAAACCGGTAGCCACTGGGGTGAGTACGGAAATATAATCTAACGAGCAGGCAGCACTCTTCATCGTCAACTACAGGAAGTGCATTAAATAACTAATTTCTTGGATAGTCGAATGGTTCCTGTTCTCAAATTGTTCGGGCTTCAACGTAGTTTCAATTCAGCTTGCTACTTTAGCAGTTTTTTTCTCATTATCTCGACGTTGACGTGTCAGAGCTTCCCCAGGTGCATCAGTGACCCTTCTGGATTGGGATACATATTTTTAGCCTTGTGATCCTTCCAGAAACACTGAATTCTTTTTCAATTTGGCACATTGTGTTGTAGATGAGAACCAATCATTTAAAATACGACGAAAGGAATACGACAAATGTTGTAACGAAGTTTGCAAGCATAAAATTTAAAGGCAGCAGTTGGAAAATGCCAAATAACAAAGTGTCAATTAGAATGGAAACTTTTTCAACTGCTCAGAGCTTTGCAGCTAATTCTTTGGTGATCACAGTTTCTCGAAAGGCGAATTCCAAAGGCATAACTGAGGATCGAACCCGCTTCATCTCATAAAATATGAAGCCAGAACTTAACTGCGCTTTAATTTTTGATTTGGTGTTCATCTCTTCTCATGCAAGTTTTTATGAAGCATCGCTACCAAATTGAGTGCATTTTTGGATTTCTACACTTAAGGTTTTGCTCACTTCAACTTGTTCTTTATTTTCTCCGATTTTCACCTTCATGAATGGATCCATTCTTACAAGTCAGGTGGTAATGCAATATGTGGGATGATGTACTGCGTGATGTGGATACCAGGATTTTTTGCGGCACAGTGTTTTTTGAGAAAACCGAATAGCGAAATATTGACGCCAATATCTAGCATTTGATATTTAAGAGAGTTAAGAACTGTGTACATATTTAAAGAATTTTTTGAAGGAAAAGTAGTCGTTCAGAGGCACGCACGGATACATGGCTCCCGAAGTGCTCGCCAAAGGCGTGGCCTACGACTCCTCTGCCGACTGGTTTTCTCTCGGCTGTATGTTGTACAAACTGTTAAAGGTATGGGGGCGATCCACTATAAACCAGCAGAATTTTTTAAAATTCAAAAAGTCGTAGTCGTTCTGAATGTTCATGTTGTCATTAGCTAGTTGTTCAAACATTTTTCCTTTCTCTATCTGAAGACATTCAATCCGATCGGATCACTGCAGGGCCATTCACCGTTTCGACAACACAAGAGCAAGGACAAGAACGAGATCGACAAAATGACACTCACGCAGGACGTCGAGTTACCGAACGAGGGTCTCTCTCCCGACTGCCGCGATTTGATCGAGGGTCTGCTCAAACGCGACGTGCCCGACCGACTTGGCTGCAAAGGGCGCGGGTCAGTGACTTATCCGTTACACTCAAAATGCAACGTACAAAGGAGCAGAATGGCAACAACTAGTTAAAGCCTTTTATTGCTCAAGACGCTAAAGTGGGAAAGACCGCAAAATAGTGCTGGGTATCCTAGGATCTGGAGTGCTGGGTATCTTGAGTGAAAAAATAAAACCATTGGAACCAAGTAATATGCGTAAGTTCTAGAAGCTCTCGGCGTTAATCAATCCTTGAGGAACGTGCCATGCATTCGACTTCATTCAGCATCGTGTGGAGGTGATTTGGCCTTTATACTCGCGGTGGCCTAGTGATGTATCGAGCCAGTGCTGCTATCCTCCTAGACAAGTCTAGTACCAATTTGCTGGCCACGGAAGGATGGAAGGCTGGATGAGCCATGGGCGCGGGGATCAATTCCACGTGTGTGTTGCAGGGCGCCTGTGACCACTGCGCCACACGCACCCATGAGTAAGATGCATATTCTAGAAAATCAACCAGCGCCCCTTCTCTCTTCGCTTAATCACTGTATCAATATTCCCATATCGGCTTCCACAGCAATAAAGTTGATTTTGATCTAACTATGTAATAGCTTCGAAGACTAATTCCAACTTTCCCATCGAACTTCGGTAGTTACAGTCAGAGTTCCTAGTGTTCCTTTAAAATGTCGTAGTGATCCTGTAAAACGACTGGTACTTCTGCATTCTTCGTATCTACAGGCCGTCCGAGGTGAAGGAACATCCGTTCTTCCGCGATGTGGACTGGCAGACGGTGTATCTACGTCGAATGACTCCACCACTGATTCCGCCAAGGGGCGAGGTGAATGCCGCCGACGCCTTCGACATTGGCAATTTCGATGATGATGAAGTTAAGGGCGTCAAGGTGAGTTTCTCTTTACTGTCGAATTCTAGCATATGTGGTTTCACCATTACATCGAACACGGAGTAACTTTCATCATTCCTAGAATATGCGAAGAATTACATTGTATTTGCTTCTTATTAGCCCTTTCCTCAAGTTGTGACCATCAACTCTTGGTAGCCTAAGCCTAGAATACAGTATTTTAATAATTAATCTTCAGATAAAAGTACATCGATGAAAAATCAGTAGCTCAACCTTTCTTTAAAATGGTTAACTAGAGATAATGCGATACAGCCTTTAAGCTATCCGATTCGGACAACGAATTGTACAAGAACTTCAACATCGTCATTTCGGAGCGATGGCAGAATGAAATCGCCGAGACCATCTTCGAGGTTGTTCCAGTTTTTCATTGACGAGTATTCATTGCGCTGTCATTTTTGAGTGAATCGCAATATGTGGAAAAGCTGCCAACATGAATGCTGCGAAACACCAATATCCATAATACTGTTATTTTTGCGGAAAAGTTTACTGCATCGATTTATCTGGACTGAGGTGTTGTGCAATTTGACGGTGAAACAATCAGCTGAAAGCATCGCAATACTTAAGATCAGGGCAAGATATTAATCTAACATACACGGATAAAATGTTCAACGTTGATGATGCGCCATGTATCAGAATTCATCAACCATCATATAGATGGTTGAGTGCATATCTGGCCAATACGAGGACTTGCGGTGGCCTACCGGTGTATCAAGTCGACGTTCTTTATTCTCCCAAACAAGTCTGGCACCGATCGCGCAGGAATGGAAGACTTGTAGATTCCCGAGCGCGAGATCGAATCAGCGATCTATCCAGCATGTATTCTAGGGCGGATGTTGTTTCTGTCCCATACGAGCCCTCTCTAAAGTATTAGTCCTTTAGAAAGCGATCACAGTTGCATTCAGGGATTCTGATGCATTCAAGGTGATTCTTAGGTTTATCGGTTACCTTACCAAATGAACGAACAACATCAAGACCAGTCTTACGCGAGCAGAGGTTCGAATCGATTCCATGCCAAGTTGGTTGCACTATGTCGTGGTCGGCATTTACTGGCCAAAGTAATTTTCAGAGAAAGAGCTCGTCCTCAGCAATTCGTCGAACGGAAGTGAGAGCACATTTGCGGCAGCATGCAAATTCGTGGAATTTCATTTGCCGTCGCAATTTCTGTTCTCACAGCTTCCGTGAAAAAAAGAACAAAAATTGAAAAAGTGGTGAAAATATGGCCCGGAAGTTTGGCAGAAAATCTTCCTAGTCACATTTGCTCGCAGTCGTTTTGTGTAGAAAGTCCACTTTATTGGGATTGTGTGAATGTTTCAAGGTTGTCAACCAAGACGCGGACAAAGCAGAAACTAAAAAGCGGTCAAAACAAAGAGCAAAAATGAACGTCGATGAAAAAGGTGGGTTTTTCTCAATAATTACCCATAAATACACGAGTGTTTTACATCATTTGCGATTGTCGTGATAGAGTAGAAAAGTCTTCTTAGTTCGTGTCTCAACAGATCCAATTATAGAACCCGGTTGTATATGGAGAATTCTAGATTCTGACGTAATCGTTCATGGCTATATCAAGAAGCTTGGTGGTCCGTTTACATCAGCATGGCAAACTCGGTACGGAAAGCTCTATCCGTCTCGGCTTGAGCTCTACCCAGAGTCACTTAGTGGGAAACCTGAGGTTATTCTTTCTCAGTTGTATATTAGCTTAATTAGAACATTTTCTTTGCAAAACAGTGGTTAAGAATGTTATTCTGATTTCAGCTAGTATTCATGGACCAGATAGAAGATGTCTGTGCGGATTTGCAAACTGTTAAAGGCGAGAACGCAATCGTTGTTAAACTACGGGATGGTTTCAAGGAACCCAGGATTAGCTTAACGAACTCGGTGATTTGAGTTTTATCTAGAATTTGACAGCCTAATTTGAAAATTTTGGTCCATACGATTTTTTTCTGCATCGCAATGGAAGTATGCGGTCAAGCTTCCTGGAGTTGACGGAACTGGCGAACAAACATTTGTTGATGTGGTGCGCCGCGGAAGAATAAAGCACTATTCAGTACAAGGATTAACCACTATTGTGTTTGAACCTCGTCTTTTTGTCTTCCTAAAACTTTGCTTAAAGTAGGAAGGGATGAGGACGTTGAATACAAGCTATCGAAGCAACGAACATGAGGAATTCTAGTAGAGGGAAATGATAAGTTGCGATCGATTTCCACCCATAATTGATAGATCGCCTTCCTGCTGTGTGGGCAATTTTATTTTATATATATATATATATATATATTTATCAGTACTAGTTGGAGAACTTTGTAAAAACTGATAAATTGATATCGTATGAAAATCCAAAGCCACTAGGAAATTTGAACATTAGAGGAAGAACGGGGACGATCGGCTTTGATACTGATGCGCTATTCTATAAAAATTTCTGTTTTTAGGACGAGATCTCGCTGAAGGAATGGCATACCTCATTGCGGACAGCGCACAAAGTTTCATGCGAGCTTTTGCAACGGATGGGACGAAAAGCGATCAAAATCTACGGGGTGAACCACGATCCTATGCTGAATGAAGCCGATAGACCTGCATCCGTTTCCAAATATATGAACAGAGCATCCAGTGTAGACTCTACCGTATGACGCAGTTACCGTTGCATCAGGCTGAGCCCAGATTTTTTCGTTAGAGGACCAAGACGGGAATGAGTGACTCGTGGAAACTCGAACGAGGAACAAGTAGATATTGGCTAACCCCGCATATTTGCCTGCTGTGTAATCGTCATTGAATTTCGACTGACTCATAACTTTAAAGTGTGCATTGTATAACTGCACGCTTTTGACACCGTAGTACCATGCAGTGCGAATGTTCTTCGAAATTAGCTAGTGAATATGGTGTTCTAAATTCGAACTTACGGCTAAGGTATGATGGAGCGGTCGAAACTGCGCGGGCTACGGTATCAGAAATATCAGCAGTTTCTCCCTAACAAGTGTGGGTTAGTTAGTGCATTTTCTGTTCGTGTAGGCTTAAGTAGCCGAATGGTATTAATCGTGTCTCATTGTGATTTTCGCTAAATAATCTGCTATATCGATAACGGGAATATTCTTCTTGCGATCTGCCTCCTATAAGGAATTTTTATCACCGGGCTCGACGGGCTGTCTCATCTGACAAGAACTGTCAGTTCGCTATTCTCCTTTTCTGAGTTTTTTGTTGATATGGATCACTCCAGTTTTGCCATTTCACCTCTGGACCACTAGGGTATTTTTGGACTTCTTCTTTCACAACAGAGGGACGAACTTCGTTATGTAAATATGCTAAAGTTATAATCTTTAGATCTACTCATATTACTAAAGGATAACTGATCGCTACTCCTCGACATATCATAAATATATGTATATATTTTGTGTACTTTATAAGTGTACGACGTCTTTCTGAACTCATCTGTCTGATACTCATCACATGTGCGTAACGAAATCTTTCGAGATCTCCGAAGTATGTAGAGACTATTGATAAAGACTGTAATGTTAAACACTGGTTCTGTTCGTTTCCGAGAGGACACGGTTCTGAAAACTATTTAAAAAATTGCAAAGGTGATAACGGTGGAGTAAAACATATACATAGTACCATGCAGAAAAGCAATCGTAGTATACTGATAGCCCTTCTATGAAGCTGTGGAGAACAAAAACCAACACCTGTGCTGAGAAGAATGCGCTCAAATTTGATCAAGTTACGATGTACGTAATCCAAAGAAGGCAAAACACTTACACTTTTGAGGTTTGGTACCCGAGTGGGATACAAATGCTAACATACCTCACCGTATGAAATGCTGAGATATTTGCAAAACTCCGGACCACAGGTGTATGCAATGGAAAACGAACACGCGCTGTTGTCCTTACCGGGGAGCAGCGCACTTCACCACTACACCATCCGGGTCCTTCGCTCTGCGTGTATCTCTCGTGTATCGATCTTTTTTGCCATCAGCAATCACCCGTCAACGGGGTTGATCTGGGGAGCCAATATCGGCATTGAACCCAGTTAAGTTGAGGCTATAGTTATAATCACAATCTTAACCTTTTTATTTGTTGCCTATTCTTTTTAACGGCAGGCTATGTTGCGAAATATAACTCTTATAATGCTAAGATGCAAAACTCCGGACCGCAGGTGTCTGCGGTGTGGAACGAACGCGCAATTGTCCTTTCCGGGCAGTTTACGCATTAGATCGATAGAACTAGCTGAGAAACAGGCGAAACGAAGGACCCGCATGGTGTGTCCATGTTTCTAAGCTTATAAAATTCGATATCAAGCGAGTTTTTCAATACATCAATGGTTCGCATTCAAGAGTCATGAAGAGTTTCTCGGGCTATAAGAAATTCTGCTGCAGACCAGAAATATGCGTTTGGGTGTCACCAGGTTCATATCACTTTCCGGCTAACGTTTTTGTCAGGATGTCAGTCATTCGTAGCAGTGGTTAACTCTTTTCTCAGTTCGAGATGGCAACGTCAAGCTCCTTGTGAACTTGGAAGACTACTGGTTGTAGCTGTTGTACATTAGAGCTCGACATATAGAAATATCCTCTAGGTGAAGTGGGACATCATTATGGGGGTGTTGTTTCGCCTATAATTCTTCGGAAAGTAATTTGTTGAGGTCGTGAGCACTTCACCAACTCTACGGCTGTGCTTAAACAAAAATAAAGGATAAAGTTCTCTACGATGATCAATCCTTAAGAAATCAATCCCTCGACTTATCACGACGGGTACAATGGTTGCCGTACTGAAGCCTGGTCAGAAAGATTTCACAAAAAGTTCGTACGACAAAGAAAACCATTGACAAGAAAGTTCATTGAAGTCAACGCCCATGCTCGCGAACGTGCTATCATGGGAGATCCGAATTAGACTGCTGGACGAGAGTTCATGGATGATTGTTCTCGAAATTGCAGCGGAAACACCATTCTCAGTACATCCAGAGCAAGTACTGGAAAGTGCGGAACACTAGTATCAGATATGATCTAAGAAATATTACGACAAAATATAGTGGATTTGAACACATTGCACCTTCTGAGTTTGTCTAATTACCAATAAATTCGTTGGATTTCAAGTACCCATCCATTGATTTTCTATCCGAAAGCAACTATCGGTTAAAACGACATGAATTGGTGAAAATAAAAACGTTCTGGGAAGCGTATCCCTGGTTTCCACGGGGAATCACGGTGAACCAGCACTGGACGTGTCAGTTAGGTAAGAGTAAGGATTCTCAAGCTGCAGCCGAATCCACATCCAAACCCGATGATGACGGTCATGCTTGCAGGATACGTGAGAGCCTGCCATCAAGGTATTTGGGTAGATGTTATCCTCCTCGGAAGTAGTTCAGGACTTCTAATTTTGTTTTCCAAATATATGATTCATCAATAGTTTTGTTTCGAATGCTGTTCTGTTATGTAACAGTGCAGTGCTTATTTTGACTCCTTTCTCCGTAGATAGTCGAACTGCGATAAATTACCTTTTTAACAAATTTTTAAAGCTACAGTTTCAGATATGCAAATAGAAATTTTGACAAATCCACACTTCTACGCGCTCAAACTCAGACCAGATGCGGTGCAAAAGCCACGAAATACTATTGATGTGTGCGGACAAGGTAGTGTTAAGACAGGCGTAGTGCGATGTTGGCTTAAAAATTTCGTCGTGGTGAACTACACCTTGAAGATGAGGGAATCAAAATTGTGAGAAAAGAAGGTTGTCCCACCATTCTACAGCTGGTTTGATCCATCATAGCATCCGGAATCAGTATGGAATGATCACGACCTACGTAAAGTTAATCGACAAAATGCGCGAGAAACTTCAACGGCTGTCCCCGTCAATGGTGAATAGACGACCAGTCCTTCCTATGAGAACCCATGGCGAGGGCTGTACCACCAACGCCGTAGGGCTTGGACGGTCTGAGTTGCGAAACTTTGTCTCATCCATCGAACTCTAGGTTTCTTGCCTATCCAATATACCCTCCAAGCATCTCGATAACTTCCTGTGCGAGAAATAGTTCAAAAACAAAGGCGACGCCAAAACAGCCTTCAACGATTTCGTCGTCTCCAGAAGTCTAGATTTTTTTCTACACATGGAATTAAATTTGTTCCTCGTTGGCAAAATGTGTATATTTTACAGTTTTTACTTGGAAGTTTCTTATTTGATCGCTCCCAAAGCCGAACAGAAAATAAAAATTTAGTGCCTCTCCTCCAGCTTTCGATGATGACAGGAAGGAAACTGCAACGAAACTGTCTTCTTAACTAAGAGATAAGATAGTCGTACTCTGTTGTCTTGATTTGACGTTATTATATTGCAGAGTAGCAAGGGAGAAGTCCATATTTTTCTGTATATTAGGCTAATCTCTTCAGTAGCCCTCTTCATAACATCATCTTTGGTAGAATACAGAATCTGTTGTTCTCCAGTTTTTTGCTTCCATAGTTGGACACTCCATTCCGCTCTTATTTACAGAGGGAATAAACACAAGATTAAAACGAAACCGGTGGTAGATGGCACAATGGCTTCTTATCAATTTACGCATTACCCACCATCCGTAGAGCTACCCCACAGACGAATAAGATGGTTCCCAAAAAGGTGTTTGTGAAGATGACAAAGACTGCGCGACTGAGTCCTCACTTCTGTGTATAGCACTTTTTTCCGCTACAACACATGCTCCATAGCCTTAATTGTTTTGCAAATACAAGAGAAATACCTCATTTTCGTAGTTGAAAATTGGGAATGACACTGTTGATGACATAGTTTCAAAAAATTGATGTGCTAGGCAACGATGACCGCTGAGCGAGCAATGTAATTGGAGGACTTCCATCTGAAAACAACTAGCCAATACAGGATCCAACAATACGGTTGGTACTCTTCATAAGAACCCGAAAGCGAACTATGTTGTTTCCTACAGCCAAAGGATAAAGAAATTCCACAAGGGGATTCTACTACGTCAGACATCGAATGGAGGCGTTAGCGGCTCACTGACCAATACGATGTAGCATCACATTTTTTATGTTTTTTTAAATTTCATCCATCTTCACGTCTACCTCGCGGATCCCAGCACTTCTCACATTCGATTCTTCTCCTGGCATCCATCATCCACCAAGATCTTCCAACTTTTACGTGTGGCTTCGGTTGTCCCTTGAGGATTTTCATTTCACCTCGAATGTCGTAGAATGCTGGTCGACCAGTTGTTCCTGCAATCCTGAGATAGCCAAGTTGGAGCGTTCCCAATTCGATTTCAGAGAGTATTTTTTTCTCAGATAAGTCCGGCAGCAATTTCCCGAACTGAGAGGGATGAGAGGCTTGGTTGGTCAGGAGCGGAACCGATCTAGCATCATGCTCATGATGACGGACATCAGACGCAAAGCTTCCCAAGCAGTAGAACCACCAAAGCCCCTTAAAGTTTTTCTGTTTTTTTTTTGCTGCAGCATTTCTAAAATAACTGGAGAACTGCACGATGGATATTCAGGAGAGACATGTAAGCAAATGTTCTTCTTTTCTGTTTGAAACCCTAGCAAGACACATTGTTGGAAATGTTATCAAAGGAGTGAAGCGTAGTTGCTTACGAATTCTAAATGAATCTTCATCGACCAACAAACCCAAAGCGCCGAGCTCACCTATTCTACTCA